ACTTCCCCCTGCGTTGGGACCCTCTCCTCTTTTTCCTGAAGTCCATACCCTTTCCCTCCCTGAGACTGCCCATCAGCTGCCCATCAGCACCCTGTCCTGGATTCATCCGAAAGCCATGACCAGACCACCTGTACTGGCGTTTGAGACTCTCTTCTTCTTGTCCTCTCTCTCTCACCTTACTTTCCCGCATGTCCCCAGCTGTCCTGTCACACCTGACCACTCGGCTCTTCCTTGGCTGATTCCGCCCCCCCCCCACTTGCCCACCCACCCCTCCAGGCCACCTTGCCTCAGCCCCTTCCCTGAAGGCTTCCTGGACTACCTCGCATGGCTGATCTCCTCCCCTTGTGAACTCTCCAGCAATTTGTTTCAACTTGTCGCCTAACCCTTATCACATTGCACCTGATGTAGGAATTGCATTTCTTCCTGTAAACCCTAAGCTTCTTTTTTTTTTTTTTTTAAGATTTTATTTATTTATTCATGACAGAGAGGCAGAGACACAGGCTTCCCTGCGGGGAGCCTGATGCAGAACTCGATCCCAGGACCCCAGGATCACACCCTGAGCCGAAGGCAGACACTCAACCACTGAGTCACCCAGGTGTCCCTGACTCTAAGATTCTTTTAGTTGGCCTTTTTTAGTTGATTTTCTGCAGTATTTTTCCCTGAGCACAAATACCATCATCCTGTTAGCATGCAATGCCATTTTTTTTCCTGCAGAATGTGTTCAGTTTCTATGCTGTCACCTCAAGCAGCCAGATTTGTCATTCTTAGTCCTGTGTTCCCAGAGCGCTGGTGCACAGCTCCATAACAGATACCTCATGATGGTTCTGAGGGAGCTGCAGGAGACAGGAGAGCACACAGCCTCCCAGTACGGGTGCCCAAGCCAGCCTGCTCTACCACTTCCCAGTCATTTGACTTCAGGGAGTCATACATCTCAGTGCCTCAGCTGCTTCATCTGTGAAATGGGAGTAGTAGTATCTTAAAGGGTCATTGGGAAGATTAAAGTAATTAATATATATATAAAACATTTACAATAGTGCCTGTTACATAGTAAGTACCAGACAAATGTTATCTCCGTGACCCATGTCCCTTGAGGAACACTAGAAAAGATCCCCTGGGGCTTTTCAGCCCTGCATTCAAAACCAAAGGGTCAAGCTTGTATCAATCTGTATTTAAAACATACACACAGACACCCCTTCCCTCCCAGCCCTCCTCTCTTTCTCTCTGCCTCCCCCTCTCTCTTCAATTCAATAAGAAGACAAACAATGCAGTTGAAAAATGGGCAGAAGATTGGAGTAGACATTTTATAAAAGAAAATATATGAAACAGTAGTAAACATGTGAAGGGGTGTCCAACATCATTAATCATCAGAAAGAGGCAAATTGAAATCACAATGAGGAAATATCGCAGTGCCTAAAGTGAGAAGAGACTGATGGCACCACGTGTTGACAAGCATGTGGAGCAACACAAACCCTCATAGGTGGCCGGTGGACATGCAGGCACAGGACAGCCACCTGGCATAACAGCATGGCAGTATCTAACCACGGTGAACATATACTTAGAGTATGAGTCAGCAATTTCACGCCTGTGTATTTGCCCAAGAGAAATGTGTTCCTGTGTCTACCCAAAGACACGGATGTGAATACTCAGAGTAGCATTATTCTCAATACCCCTGCACTGGAAACAACCCAGGGAACACTAGTCAGCCGTCAAAAGGATGTTAATACATGCAACAATGTGGATGCATCTCCAAAACTTAATCCAATGTACGTTAAAGACTATATGCTGTCCGATTCTATTTATATGAAATTCTAAAAATGTCAAAACTACAGTGACAGCATATCATTGGTTTCCTGTGGCTGTCATTGACGGTTGATTCAACAGCAAAGATGCAGGAGACTACCTTTCAGGATGAGGGAACTGTTTCATCTCTGGGTGTGGTGGTGGTGACACAATTACCAAAATCCATCAAACTGCACACTTAAAATGGATGAACTTGCCCGAATGTAAATAGTGATGTAACAGAAAAATCAAACCCAGAGGCTGATTAAGTGTCTTTCAGCTGGTTGGCCCGGTGCCTTCTGTGTGGTGTCTCCCGGCCTGCCAAGACGACCTCCTCATTGGAAATAAGGTCATTCGAGGCTCATTTTCTTTCTCTTGCCTCAGAGCTGCAGATCCAGCTGACATTGACCGATTTCCAGTGGGCACCATAGTGTGTCCCAGGCGGAGGCTGAGGGAAACAAGCTTGTGTTTCTGTCACTAATGATATGAGCCTTCATCGTATCCTCTGCCAGGCCATGTTGGTTGTCATTACACCCATTGAAGAAGAGAACAGAGTAATAATGAGCTGGGTGTTATCGGCTCACAAATAATTTATAATGGGCAAACTAGGACAGGAACAGAGCTTTTTTTGGCTAAGGAGGCTGCATGTCACTCTTTAAAATCTAGGCCAAAAAATTATTTATAATGCATAGACAGTCACTCAGAAAGTTAAAAGGTTCCTTTCTTCTCTCTGTGTGTTTGAACATGATGCTTTTTACCCTCGACTCACAAAAGGCACCTTAGCATCTTCCTTGGACACCTGCATTTCAGTCCATGACTCTGAGAGCACATATATGAGGGTGATTACTTGGCTAGGAATGAGGCCCTTGTAGAAACCCCTTAAGGGTGTCAGGTCCTCGGGGGTGCCTGGATGGCTCAGTGGTTGAGCGTCTGCCTTCGGCTCAGGTTGTGATCCCGGGGTCCTGGGATCAAGTCCCGCATCAGGCTCCCCACAGGGAGCCTGCTTCTCCCTGTGTCTCTTATGAATAAATAAATAAAATCTTTTTTTTTAAAAGGGTGTCAGGTCCTCCCCCAAATCCAAGAAGGTTAGAAATGAGCAGAAAGTCAGGAAAAGGAAGAGATCTTGACTGTGGGGAGTGACCACACACTTGAGGTAAGCTTTGAAGAATTGCCTTGGGTATTATCAGGAAGGAGCCCAAACCGAGATATAATCAGCAAAGGATGGCTTTTCAACAAGTGTGTTGAAATAAAGGCAGGTCATGTGTCCTTAGGCAGAGGCAAGCAAAGTGGTTATGGCCACTGTGGCATCTAAGAAGAGAGTATTTGCATTGTGTCCCTTGTTTGCAGGGGCTGTTTGGGGAAGCAGAATCCTTATTGACACCGATACCTGTAGATATGGATACCTACCCCAAGGGAGGTGAAGCCCTCTGAGTTATCTTAAGCCACCAGCACCCTGTCCTGACTACACGTTGGCCAAAAGCCTCCTGATAAGTGATTGGCTGCCCCGGCCACCTTGATGCCAGGCCCCAGGGTACCTAGAGCAGCAGGTAGACCACATTCAATGGGCCCCACAGCTGTGGCTCCTGCTCTCTCAATGAGCTGATGTGGAAAAAGTCCATCCTGGGTGAAATGAGAAAGGTGAGTCAGCTCTTGATCACTTTTGACTAAGATGACTGTTGACAGGGACACCTGGGTGGCTCAGTGGTTGAGCATCTGCCTTGGGCTCAGGTTGTGATCCCGGGGTCCCAGGATCGAGTCCCGCATTGGGCTCCCCACAGGGAGCCTGCTTCTCTCTCTGCCTCTCTCTGTGTGACTCTCATGAATAAATAAATAAAATCTTTTAAAAAAAATGACTGTTGATAAGGGGCTGGTCCTGTGGAGCTCAGAGCCAGCCCCCAGGGTCTGTGGTGTGTCATTAAAGGTCAAGACCTCTAGAGTGGTGCTACTTCCCAGATCTCCTCAGGCTGAGGGCAGGCTTCCTGCGATGCCTGCCCCTTGTTGGGCTATCTAGTAGAGCGGCCTGTGTAGCTCCTGTTCTGGTTCCCAAGGATCCCAGGCTTCCTCAGAGGTCTCCTCCCCGCAAGCCAAGCAGCTCTACTTTGAGCTCTGTATAGATGTGCGGTGTAGTGTGTCATATTTTAAATAGACTTTACTTTTTTTAGAGTACTTGTAGGTTTACAGAAAAACAGCAGAAGGTACAGAGATTTCCCATCTATCCCCTGTCCCTATGTATGGATGGCCTCCCTATTATTAACAATGAACCTACATCAACACATCATCATCACCCAGAGTCCATAGTTTATGTTAGCACTCACTCTTGGTGTAAATCTATAGGTTTGGACAAATGTAAAATGATGTGAACCCACCAATATAATATGCAGAGGAGTATCACTGCCCTAAAAATCCTCTGTACCCCACCTATTCATCCATCCCCACTTCAGTCCCTGGCAGCCACTGATCTTTTCGCTGTCTCCATAGTTTTGCCTTTTCCAGAATGTCATATAGTTGGAATCATGCAGTATGTAGCCTTTTCAGATTGGCTTCTTCCACTTAGTAATATGCATTTAAGGCTCCTCTATGTCATCTTTAAAAGGGTTCATCTGCTCTTAGCAGCTTGACAACCATACGCCTCCCCTGTCATACGTTGGCCCTGGGTCGAGCACGGCTTGCAGACGGTTTTTTATCGGGTGTGCCTTGTCTTCCCAGAGGATGATGAGCTCCAGGGCGGGGGCCAGGACATATGCCCTGTGTGGCACTGGCTCTCTGCCAGACACTCTAGGTACCTGGTTTCCCCTTGTAACTTGATACCAAGGGCCGAGTGCTCTGGGTTGGAGGGGACGTGGTTAGAGCCTAAGGAAGGGCTATCAAAGCAAAGCCCTCTGGGCTGCAGCCATGTACACAGCATGTCATTTGCTCTCTGAAGGTTAAAGCTTCATAAAGTCAGAGTGAGCAGCATCTGGCAATGGAGCTAATCTGTGTAAGATTTTGCATCTGAGTCAGAACTTACTTATTAACACTGTCTGTCTTTGTGGCCAAGAGTCTAGCAAAACATTTTTCTGTCCCCATTATTCAACTCTGAAATGTGGTGAATGTTACTTTCCCTGAAAGAGTTCTGATAAGATGATCACGACAGAGCACAGTCTGATAGCAAATACTTCCATTTCACAAAAAGCCTTTATGAAGTGGAATATTCTAGTAACCTGTATGTTCCGTGTTTACAGAGCTTCTCGAAACAAGTCTGAGAAGAAGCGTCGGGACCAGTTCAATGTTCTCATCAAAGAGCTTAGCTCCATGCTCCCTGGCAACACTCGGAAAATGGACAAAACCACCGTGCTGGAAAAGGTCATTGGATTTTTGCAGAAACACAATGGTAAAGGTTATGCTTCTCTCCATTTTTATTCCATTCCTGTCCTTTCATTTGGTGATGACATCATCAAGCTGGTCCTATGCTTGGTTCTCTCTTTCCAGCAAAGCCTGATTTCCTCAATCACAGGCATTTTCTTGCAAAGACACTCCACCCTCTTTAATAGCCCACCTCCAGCAGGTTTGGGAGAGGACTTTCACTTCCCAAATTGCTTTATTAGCCAGAGGAGAGAATCCAGAGAATCCTCACAGGTAGCACCCAGCATAAGTGGAGTGGCATTAACAGTGGGAGTATCTTGATTAAAAGTGTCTACAGCAAGCATTTTTCATGCAGCTTTGAAGAGATGCAAGGCCCAAGAATTCATTTTCCACTGGACTGAAGTGGACTGGTTTCTCCAACCACCTCCACAATGGCCTCTGAACTCCTTGGCCTTCTGAGCTCCACCATGGAAAAATTAAATTGAAAATCAATCATCTACTTACAGTCAAATCCATTTTTTTATTGAGACATCAGTCGTGTGCCATGAAATTCACCATTTTAAAGTTTAAACTCAGTGGTTTTAGTATATCCAAAAGGCTGTGCCATGGTTAACACTAATTTTATCATCCCATAAATCAGTCACTCTCCATTTCCCCTCCCTCCAAATCCTGACAACTACTCAACTGCTCTCTGTCCCTCTCTATTTCCTATTCTAGGCATTTCATACAACTGGAACCATCTAATATATGACCTTTTGTTTCTGGCTTCTTTCACTTAACATTCATATTTTAGCAAGTACCTGTATTTCACTCCACTTTATGGCCAAATAATACCTATTGTATAGATATATCATATTTTGCTTATCCATGTATCAGTTGATTCTCTGGGGTTGTTTCCACTCTTTAGCTGTTATGAATAATGCTACTAGGGACCTTCATGTACAGTTTTTTGCATGGATATATATTTTCAGATCTCTTGGATATATATCTAGGATTAGAATTGCTTGGTCCAATGGTAACTCACGTTCAACATCTTGAGGAACTGCCAAACTGGTTTCCACAGTGGTTGGACAATTTTAGACTCCCAGCAGCAGTGTATGAGGGTTTCAATTTCTCCACATCCCCACCAACACTTGTTATTGTCTGGTTGTGGGTGTGTGAGTGAGTGAGTGAGTGAGTGTGTGTGTGTGTGTGTGTGTGTGTGTGGTGTTTATTATAGCCTTCCTAGAGAGTAGGAAGCAATATCTCATTATAGTTTTGATTTGCATTTCCCTAAAGATTAATGATGTTCAGCTTTTCATGAACTTATAGGCCATTTGTATATCTTCCTTAGAGAAATGTCTATTCAAATCTTTTGTCCATTGTTTAATTGGATTATTTATGTTTTGTTGTTGAGTTCCTTACATATTCTGGATACTAGACCCTCATCAGATATATCATTTGCAAATATTTCCCAGACTGTGGATCGCCTTTCACTTTTTTACTGATGTCCTTTGACACAAGTTTCTAAGTCTGAAGACCAGTTCTCTTTTTTTGTTATCGTTGGTTGTGTGTGTCTTAGGTTCCTATCTAAGAAACCATTGTCTAATCTAAGGATATGGACATTTACATCACCTATGTTTTTCTTTTAGAGTTTTATAGTTTTTAAAAAGAGTTTTATTGTTTTAAGCCATAGATTAAGCATCAAGCATACAAGCTACAGGGTGAGCATTTAGGTATTTAATCCATTTTATTTTTTTGTACATGGAGTAAGATAGAGTTGAAATTCATCATTTTGCATGTGGATATCCAGTTACCCCAGCATTCCTTTCCTTTTTATTTTTTTTTAATTTTTTTATTTATTTATGATAGTCACAGAGAGAGTGAGAGAGAGGCAGAGACATAGGCAGAGGGAGAAGCAGGCTCCATGCACCGGGAGCCCGATGTGGGATTCGATCCCGGGTCTCCAGGATCGTGCCCTGGGCCAAAGGCAGGCGCCAAACTGCTGCGCCACCCAGGGATCCCCATTCCTTTCCTTTTTAAAAAAAACTTTTGAATACTTAGAGAAAATATATAAATAATAACTGTACAATTAAATTACTTGTCATACTGTATATTAGTAAACACAGCTCAGAAACCAACCCCGGGTCAATAAATATAAGCTTCCCCAATAGATGCTCCTTCCTTCTATCTACTTCTGCTTTCCCCAGAAGTAATCTCTATTTTGACTTCTAATACTAGAGGTTGGTTGTTGGGACCTTATTCAGATGGAATGATATGTTATGAACATGATTCTTATGAGGTTAATCTGTGTTCTTCCAGTGTTGTGGCTGGTTTGTTTTTGTTGGTATATAGTATTTCATTATATGAAGTTACCACTTGAGTCTATCCTTGAACTTGTGTCTTTCTCAAATAACCCTCTCTCCCTTTTACCTTTTTCCCTCAAACCCTTTTACCTCTTAGCATTGACCACCCTGCCTCACTGCTCACTTATGGTTGGTACAAAAAAATTGAAGCAGAGTTAAGAGCGTTCAGGAGATATTAACAAGCAAGAAGAGCAGAATTCTTTTTTTCCTTAACTATGACACCAAACATAATAAAGTCAGAAGTGTCAGGTTATTGAGGAGATAATTACGATTCTTCTGTGCTTACAGTGATGCTTCTCTTTCACGGAACGTTTTCCTAGACAAGATGATTTCATGGAAGAGGGCACAGCTAGGACATTAGAAAGTTTCATTATTCTTGTTATTCTTTTATTATTTCTTTAATAATTGTATATACCTATTAAAAAGATGACAGTAATGATATATCCTCCTTTTTTTCCCAAAGCTGTCCAGAGGAGTGTAAAGAATATGTTAATTGCTTTTGTTAAAAGTCAGGGAAGAACAATCAAGCAAGATTGGAGTAAAGTGTTGCAGCAGTATTCAATTGCCACAATAATTTAATCAGAATGATTATATTTCCTAAATAATGATTTAGCTAAGTGAAATAGCAGGTTGGTTCGATTACCAAGATATTTTGTACAAATTACTCAAACTAGGTCAGTGCCACTGAGAAGCAGGACAGCTGTTAAATAGGACAGCTGGGATCAAGTTCATCAGTGTGACATTTATGCTGGGCTCTGTCTGCTGCAGAATTACAGAATTGTCAAATTGGGACCTGGAAAGGATCACTCAGCAGAAATGCAGCCTCCTAACACCAGGAGCGCCTGTCTCCATCTCACCTTTTTTTTTTTTTTTTTTTTTTTTTATAAGACTAAGGCCTACTTTGCACAGCTCCCTTAAACCCAAGCCTGATCACCTCTGGATCTCACTCACCCTCTGTGATTTTATATCCCAAAGAAAGCAGAAAATTCGTGGCAGATTTTATGGAGAAATACCAAAATTTGGATTAAATTTTTTAAAAAATATATAACTTTAGTTATAATCCAAATGGACATGAACTCCACAGGCATCCACAGTAGGGCAGAGAACAACATTATTATTCAGGGCTCACCATGAGCCAGGGAGGCATTGTTCTAAGGACTCTTGTATAATAACACATGTGAGCTGCATAGCAGCTCCCCTTAGTTTCATTTCACAAATGAGACAACCAAGGCACAGAGATATTAGGCCATTCACCCGAGTCACACAGCCAGGGTGGTGAATCTATATGAGGCAGTTTGCCTCCAGATCCCAAGTTTTAATACTATAACATACTGGTTTTCCACAAGGCACAATTCATGGGGCTCTTATGGATGTTTGTGCTCTAGCTGCCCATTAGTGTAGCCATTTAGACTACTGGTTCTCAACCTTGGCTGCCCATTAGAATCACCTGAGGAGCTTTTAAATACATATAACTGGGTCACACCTCAGAGACCAATAAATCAGAATACCTAGGGGTGGAACCCCAGTGGTGAACTGGAGCTGGCTCATCTTGGCTTGCAAAAGATGATTGTTAAATTTTCAGGAGTTTTGCAAGCCAGATGACAGCTTACAATCAGCCACTGTGGGAGTATTTCCCACCATAGAAATGGGAAAGCACTGTAAATCAAGGTGCTTTTGTTTTGTTTTGTTTTTGGTAGGGATGGAGAGCCTTTTACTGGCACACTACTGGGAGAGGTACTAGCGTCTGTATTTTTAAAGCTCTCCAGATGATTCCAGTGGCAGCCAGGGTTAAGAACTGTGAATTTAGACATGTTTTCTGCCTTCATGATACAGGAAGACCACATGATAAGAAAAGATGATTAGTTCCGGATAGGCATTGTAATTATTTATAATAACTCTTTCCTCAATAATCTCTCAAGCATCCCCATTTTCCCAGCTTGGGAGATAAACCTTGACCTTGGAATGCATACCTATTCTTTTTGAAGTAATCCAAATCAAAATGAGAACCTGACCATGGTCCTTTATAGATAAATTCTATCTCATCAGTATCTGTTATAAGAGAGAAATCCCTAAATTATGTAAATAACAAGGTGTATTGTACATTCTTATCCACACCCATTTAAATGTTACTTCTGCAGGGCCAGGCTGACCTGCAAGCTTTCTTCTTCTTGTGTGAATCTCAAATGGATTTAATGTGATTTTTTGCCAGCAGTCTATCTGCCTTAGTGGATAGGGGATGGGGTCATGTGGAGAAGCTGCAATACAAAGTGAAGTATCTGTTGGACAGGGTGACCCAGCTTGGTAGAGAGTTTCTGCCCCATTTTCCAGACTTTCTGCCCATTTTCCAGACTTTCCTTTGACCACATATAGCCCAAAGACATACTCCTCCTTGTTCACAAACACCAGGAATGATTGGGAGGTGAGCACTCTAGGGCACAACTGCAACTTACACTACAGTAGAATTTTGGAGTTCAGCTGTTAATTGTAATGTTTTCCTTCAAAAAAAAATGCTTCTAGGTGGTTTCACTTCCCTTACCAGTTAGAAACTACTTCACCACATCTCTTTGCTGATCCTGCCCTATCACCTGTCGGTTGTGATATTAGTCACATCAAATGCCAGTGGAGACATGATTATAACACTAAACTTTATTTCCCAGTTGAACATTTTTTTACTTAAGACATTTTATCTAATATATATTATATATTATATATTATATATTATATATTATATATTATATATTATATATTATATATTATATATTATATATTATATATTAATGTGCTGTGAAGTGAGCCTTCACTTACAAGGACTACTATCAAATTGTTGAAATACAAAATGAATGAAATGGCTGCTCTCAATATCATTATGCTGGTGTTTATAAAGAATCTAAATCGTACTAAATGATCTAAAAGTTACTTACAGAAAAGAAATGGGCCTTTTATTTTCCTTTACCATTAAGTTGAATGGACCACTATCTAAATCAACTTTGGACTGTGAGGAGACTCTTCTCCTGGACAACTCATCTACAGCTTGATCCTAATGATCAAAAGAACAGTACACATGAGTTTGTGTGTTGGGGGAAGGGGGAGAAGATTTATGGCATTAATTTATTAACATGGTCTTGCTAGATCTCTTTTCTAAGTGATCAGACTGCAGCAACCATTTGAGGAAATGAGAGTTTCACCCTCTCTTGCCTCAGCTGGCACCCCAGAATCAGCGCTGGCCCAGAATTGTGTATAGCACCCTACCTCTGCTTCCCAGTTGCATTTCACCTTGTACAGCCTCTGGCCACAGTGGCAGGAACATCTTGTTCTTTCAGAATCTGGGAGGAAGAAACCATCCCAGTAGCACCAAGAAGATAATCCCTAAAGAAACCTCTCACTAGATCCAGTGGAGCAAAATGCTGGTTAAGATGGAGGATAAGCTGAAGGAAAAAAATATATCCGACACAGCATTTGAGCTATCTGTAAGAATCTTATCAGAGACATTTTAGTAATAATACAAAATACACTTTCAAAAATGTGAAAGAACTAGCGTATTTAAGGAGTCCTGTGTATTCCAACGACTATTGAATTTACGAACATGAATAACATCTTCTGTACAAGGTAGTTACAGAAACAAGCTAACTATAGACCAATCCAGAAAAGTCTTGGGAAGAATAAATTCTGACTTTAAAAGCAACTAAGTAACATGTTATTTGTCTAACACATTGTACATCAGTACCTGGAAATACTGAAAAATACTTTACATTCTGCATAGACACAGTCCGTTATTTACTACAAGCCGAAGATGTGTCTGGAATTTTGAAAATCCCGGATCTCTTAAGTGTTTTGCTTTGCCTTGACCAAGAAGAGGCAGCTTAGGACTGTGTCCTACCATCCGGGTCTTTGTTCCCATTGCCTTGCTAGATGGCAACTGCCGATGGTGGGCTTGGAGGCGTAGAAATTCAAGGGCATTGTGCCACCTGCTACTGGCAGGCACTACGGCCACACAGAGGGTGGAGCACTCTTCTCCTGAAGCCTCATTAAAAGGGTGTGGAAACATCCAGAGACGCCTTTAAGCCCATTACATCCAAAGTTCCTAGTCCTTAGAAATCAGGGTAACATATTTCCTTATACTGGTTTCTTTAAACAACACAGGAGTTTACACAAAATTACATAGAAATACATGTGCTTCATTTGTGTTCTTTTTCGTTTGTGAATTCTAAGTCCAAGGTGCCTTTGAGTATAAAAGTTTATTTATGTAATTTTTTTTTTTTTTTGTAGAAGTCTCAGCGCAAACGGAAATCTGTGATATTCAACAGGACTGGAAGCCTTCATTCCTCAGTAATGAAGAATTCACCCAGCTGATGTTGGAGGTGAAATGCACTTTCAGATTAGCTTAATCGGTTGCAAATCAAAATGTGGCTGCTTGTTCCAGATAAGATAAGACCCTGTGCCCTGAGTAAACAACTTTTCTCGACCCTGGAAAGAGGTCTTGAAACAGACACCCCTTGAAGCTCTGCATGCTGTTGCTTATTTTTTGGCTACTGAATTTGGCAGTATAAGCAAGAATCCCCAAACCGAATGGGAGTGTGTGCTGTGGCTGTCATGACGCCAGGGCGAGCCCATTCTTGGTCTCCCAACTAGAGGACACCCAGTGGGGCACCCGGGAGGGACAGGTGCAGGTAGGTAGAAGGAGGGGAAGGAGGGAGGAAAAATTATGTCTCTGCACTGCCTTTTTGGCTCAGAGTCTCCTCTTTAGAATGCAATGATTATATGACTCTGTGTTTCCCCTTAGTAGAACACATTTTGAAAACAAAAGCCTTCTTTTAAAGTTAGGCTTTTAACTCGAGCTCCTATTATATCAACATAGCATGTGGGTGTCTGCCGTAAGTGACCCTGTGCCTCCCCGCCCAGCACACGCACTTTCTGGGCTGGGAAAGATGCTCACGTTTCTTCCTCTAGAAAGTTAGTTGCCCACACCCATCTGTGGGGCTCTATTTGTGGAAATCTGGCCGAGATGGGCCAGTGGCCTTCTTCGGTGTCCTGTGTTTACATTTGGGCAAAACTCATCTGTACGGATGAGGGTGAGTCTCTGCAAAACCATGTGGCGGTGTGCTCTGACTTCACAACTGGGGTTTAGGCTGGGAGTGTATGGACATGAGAGTGGAGGGAGAGAAGGTTCCAGATGTGGCACGTCTGGGCCCTTGACTTAGAAGAGGAAACCGGGACAAATGAGTTCAGTGAAAGGAAGTTAGACGCTGGCTGCTTGTCAGTGGTTCCTGGCAGGGTTTTTGGAGAGTGGCTTCTTTCTATACTCATCTTAGGTGCCTGTATAAGACTGATGTAAACTTTAATTTACATACATTAACTATGCAGAAAACAGAAAGTACTGGAGTAAGAAAATGCCAGAATGAAGATGTCCAAATATTATGAAATATAAGCGCATTAATGAACATTTGCATAAAATGAAAGATACTTAAATCTACATGTGAACTATATTTAAAGAAAATACAGAACTTTCTCCAGAAGCAATGCATTTTAAGTATGTTAAATTTAGACCAGCTTGTGAAATATAATGTTGAATTAATGCATCATTATGCTACTTTACATAAACCATTTTATCTTTTAATTCTTAGGGACAGTAGTTAAAACGCATAACCCTATAGCATCCAGCCTCTTTTTAAAAGCCTGTAGCACATCCTTCTTTTTTATTCCCCCTACTGAGTTTCAAGATATCAAAAATGTTTGAGGAAACAAGACTTTTATAAAGTTAAAAATGGATACATGTTTGGGCTGAAAGGCAGGCCTGAGATTCAGGAGACTGGAATTTCTAGAAAAAGAAGAGTTTAGATTTCTCTGTGTATTCTTTATGCACTTTCCCCTGCTCCCAGTATAGACTCCTTGAAGTGAATCTGAAGGAATCATGCCCAATGAGTGAATTAAGCCTGAAATTAAGCCTGTACAACAGCAGGCCTTCTGGGCAAATTGCAGCTTTGAGGAGCCTGGAAAACCCAGTGACGAGTACTTCTGATTTATCTGTTTCAAGCTTCTGTTCCAACCTGTTGCTCTTCAGTAGACACAGCCCTGGTGATGAGTAACTAACTGCACCTCCAGTATCTTCTCCCAGATGGCCTGGGCCCTTCAAGGCCCCCACAGGATGATGTTGTCATCATTTGCCACAAGGCAACTTCTTACTCGTGTGTTTCGTTTTCCAGCTCTGCAGCCTCTCTCTCCCTTTCCAGAACCATTTCAGGGACTGTGAGGAATTCAGAGGCCATGTCATGGCAACCATGAGGTTCTCTTTTTAAACCAGGACAAGAACCCATCAGGCCCCTGGGTCCTGAACCACTGGTGCCCTCTGCATGTGAATCCCTCCTCCTTCCCTCTTCTCTCAGAAAGTCCCCAGCCCAGAGTCCAGGAGGACACACACGGTCTTGGGGTTTGAAAGAACAGAAATGACTTGGCTGCAGACCAGCCAGGCAGGTACAGGGCCAGCGGGCAGAGATGATGGCTACAAACCTCTGAACAAGTTTGCTCAGACAAAGGGGAAGCTCTCGTTGACTGGCCGTTAGGAAGCTTGTAGCATTTCTTCTGAAGTATATTCCAAAAAGCTACAGCCATCCTTTCTCTTAGCCCAAAGGTTGTTCCTCAGGAGCACAAGAAGCATCAGCATAAGGAATTGGCAGAAAGGCCTATTTTCATTTCTTTCTGGTGTGTGGTGGGTATAAAATTGGGGCTGTTATGGCATTTTGGTTGTCCCCAAAGCTGCCGTCACTAAGAGACTTTGCATTGAGTCCCTCAGATGGTGCTGATGGGACCCTCTAAAACCCCAGCGAGTGTGCTCTGAGCAGTGACTCAGCACCGCTCTCCTGCATTTAATGGGAAACGCCGATAAGCTGTTGAAAGTTATCTTCCATCTATAAATACCTTCAGTTCTTTGACACCCACATGCTTTATCCAAGAGGGGCTCACTGAGTAAAAAGATCATTTATACTCCTTCCTTTTCCCAGTGTTCTGTCCTGGTTTTTCCAGAGGTCCAGGTGACATCCCCAAACACACACACACACACACACACAGCTCTTAAAATTCACCTCCAGGAGTGCGGCAAATGTGACGGAAAAAGACAATTAGGGAAAGAAACAAAAGGTACCAAGATGTACCTCTGTGTTCATCATATAATCCATAAATCTCATTCAAGAGTTCTCAACCTCAGCCCTATTGACACCTTGGACCTCATCATTCTTTATAGGGGGGTGTCCTGTGCATTGTAGGATGCTTCAAAGCATTCTACACCCACTAGATGCCCCAGTAGCGACCACCAAAAAGTCTGCTGGCATCATTAGGTGTCCCCTGATGGGGTAGGAGGGCGCAAAACTACCCCCAGTTGAAAACCACTGATGTAACCCCAAAGGGTGAGGTACACTTAAGAATATGCTTTAATATGCTTTAAATGCTGCAATAGGTAAGCATAAAATAATAAATGACCCTAGTGTTCGTTTTCCTGGTAAAGAGAGCTCCTCCCATTCTGGCTCTGTGCTCTTCCTGCGCAATCAATGGACCGTTTCCGGTTCCTGTTGCAGTGCACTTAGCTGCACCCTCCTAACTGAAAGAATTAGTGCCCCTTTGGCCGTGCAGACCTCCAGTAACAACCTGGGAGGATCTAGCTGAGTGCATACAAAATGTTTCTAAGCACTTATTTCAGTGCGGCTTTTTTTTTTCCTTAAAGCAGAAATATTCTCACATTCGAAGATGATATTTCAAAGATACATACAGTAAGAGTAATAGGTTTACAGTAACTGTCCACCTGAGCATATTACTCCCTCAGAGATTCCTGTTCCAGTGGGTTGGGCTTGTTTTCATCTTTGCCATCTATTGCAAGGACCCGTATAGCCTGTTGCCAGGATGACCCCATTCAGGGCTGAATTGCATCATCTGAGTTTTGGAAATCGACTTTGAAATGTGTCTTATGGAAGCATCGTGAGCAACCAATAAGGAATCTAAAAACAAACCAGTGAAAGTGTGAGAAAACAGGGACAGCCTACATCCTTTCTTTTCTGTCAGAAGCACCTAGAAATATTACTCAGCCATTAGAAATGACAAATACCCACCATTTGCTTCAACATGGATGGAACTGGAGGGTATTATGCTGAGTGAAATAAGTCGATCGGAGAAGGACAAACATTATATGATCTCATTCATTTGGGGAATAAGGAAAATAGTGAAAGGGAATAAAGGAGAAAGGAGAAAATTTGAGTGGGAAATATCAGAAAGGGAGACAGAACATGAGAGACTCCTAACTCTGGGAAATGAACAAGGGGTGGTGGAAGGGAGGTGGGCAGGGGGTGAGAGTGACTGGGTGACGGGCACTGAGGGGGGCACTTGACGGGATGAGCACTGGGTGTTATGCTATATGTTGGCAAATTGAACTCCAATAAAAAATAAATTAATTAATTAATTAATTAATTTAAAAAAAAAGAAGCACCTAGAGCAACGTGCCTCACAGTAGACCTTCAGTAAGTAACGTGAATGTTTTTACAAAACAGCTCCTTCAGGAGGTCTTCCTCCTGTGGCGATGAGGGTAGGCAGAGGCCGACCCTGACTGACTGTTGTTAATGTACCTGTTAGGTTCTGTATCTTCTGATAAATGTTTACTGCTGTACTCAAAGTGATATTGGGGGCCAGGGGATGGGAACCATAAAATATCACTGACATCTTTTTGATAGGAATTGTGATATTTCTGATTCAGCCCAATGGGATGCTTATCATTAAAACTACTTAGGTCATTTCCGTGGCTAAATGGAGTTTCAGGATACCAAGAGGTCAGATTTTCCAGGGAGCCCTTTAGTGCTTCGGCAAGCACTCTGCCTGGGCGACACAAATTCTGTGTACGAAACCGTCCTGTGTACAAAGTCGAAAAGTACAGTGAGGTTCTCCGTGGAAATATTCTAAGAATTACAAAATAAAGTCAGTGTCATAAGAGGGGATCCTTTGCTTCAGTGACACCCTCCTCCATAAAGGCACCACTAAGGAGCCTTCCACTGTTGGATTCTCTGCAGGCCCTGGACGGCTTCATCATCGCAGTGACGACCGACGGCAGCATCCTCTATGTTTCTGACAGTATCACGCCTCTCCTTGGGCATTTACCGGTAAGTCTCTGCTTCTGCTGGCCTTTGCCAGTGCGCATCACCATCTCACCTTGAGAACCACTCAGATCCCAGATCAGGGAGGGTGTAGGTCTGAGGGGGTCGGTGTGTAAGAAGGGTGCAGGAGTGCCCTCCACAAGGCCGAGGCCAGGGTCCCCAAGCCTTCTAGAGGAAGGGCAGGTGCAGGAATACGCTGTTCTGGAACAAGCAAGGCACCAAGATCTCGACATGCCTAGACCCGACGGGGACGTGGGTGCAGGTCCTTACCCTCTGTGCCCTAGAAGCTGACGAGAGAGTCCTGGCACAGTTAGTAGATCGTAGAGCCTATACAGAGGTGGATGGATATCCTGCAAAGGGAAAAGCCAGCCTCCTGGGTCAGCCGAGAGCCGGTGGAGGAATGTGCAGCAGGTGGCTGAAGATGGGATGTGGTTTGGGGATCCCTGGGGACATGTCTGAGATTGCAAGTAGGTGGTGACACTTAATTGTAATAAAGGATCTGTGCCAGGGGTGATAGGGGTGTGAGGGTGCAGAGGAGAGTTGAAATGCTCTGAGGAAATGTGGATAGACCAGGGAGACCTTGAGGAATGAAGAAGTTGTGGGCAGGAGGACAAGCTCTGCCATCCCAGGGGAGACAGGTAGAGACTCAGAGGCGGGGTGGGTGCTACTTGACAAAAAGCCTCCTAGATGCTCCTCCCTCCCCTTCTTCCTCTATCTTCCTCCTCTCTTCCTCTCCTCCTCCCTCCCACACTTCCTCCTCTCTGCATAAGCCTTGTTGGCACCCTGGTCACCCCCAGTCAGGAGGAACTGGCTCACTGAGCAGTACCTGGCTGCTGAAGGAAGGTGGGGAGTCCACCTCTGGAGATTCCTCAAAGGGGTTTGGCCAGCCTTCCATTTCATGGCACACTATTATTTATTCCTACAGAGCGTGACCTTGAATGACAGCTCTACCAGGAGCATCCAGATGGGGATTAAACCTCCTCTCTCTCTCTCTCCTCTGTCCTCCCCAGAAGCCCCACCAAACCACTTAGCCCCTCCGCTCCCCACTCCCAGCACATCGGTGGATAGGTAGCCAGCGGATGTAATAGGAAGGGCAACCTTATTCCTGGTTCCTGTATGAAGGAAATCCTGGGCCTGGAAGATGCAGGAGGACCATGGCCTCCTCTCTGTAGCCACACCTGCTGGGGAGCAGCATGGCCTTGCTCCATGAGCAGCTGGCCTTCCTTGGGGTGATGAGCCCAGTTTGCTATTGGCCCAGGATTCCACATTGTCCTGGGGTATGCTTTTCCCCAGAAGCTACTCCCCATTGCATCATTTCTGCAGATCATGCTGTGTAGAAATCAGAGCCACTGTCCACAATTTTCCTTTGCTGGTCACTGTGTGGTGTAGCCCAGAAAAGCAGTCTTTACCTTGCTAGGCAGATGCCTTTGCGTTACCCCCGTTACCTATCCAACCTTTGTTTTCAGCCCACTCCCTGCACTATCTCCAAGGTGCATTAGATTTGGGACATTCCCTCTCTTCCTAAAGCTGTCAGAGAGGCTTGTTCTCAGCCCCAAGGAGGCAGGGAGCCCCGGTTTTGCCTCATTTTTTTTTGAGGCCAGAATAGTGATGAGGTTGACACAAGGAACACAGAAGTGACCCCATCGAATCAGCCTGGCTTTCTCGGACTGACTTGAGGTGGGTAAGGAGGGAAAAAGTGATGGGGTACTTCTTTGGAGGAGTTTGTGTTTTGTCTTGAATGGACAGGACTGGACCACGACAGGTGCTGATTGAAAGCAATGACACGGAGCCTCATTAATGACCTGGGAATGAGATGCAAGAAGAGCCCAGAGCTGTTTGAGTAAACAGGATTTACACTGTTCTGCTTTATGCTCTTGTAATTATCTGGTGACCCAGTTGCTATACATGGCAGAGGGGACTTAGAAAGTGAGTCGGGAATTCTGATTTGAAATTACAGAGCAATTTAGGACCACCTTTATGAATTATTTTCTAACTCTGGAAGGATCAGAAATTATCCTGCCTCTAGCTTATCAATGCTAGACCCATGTGAGTCCTGAGTGCCTTTATGTAGACCCTCACCTAGACACACATAGAGTCAGCCTTTAAGCTACCCAGTGGAGGTGAGCCCAGGATGGACAATCCCCAAATTCAACTTCTGCTTACTTCTACCTCATATTATCTGGTTTTTACCAAGAGCGCCACCTTCTCTTCCTTTCTTGCTTAGCATTCACTGGCATCTTTGCTCTCATATATGGGCAAGGGCGATTAAGGATGGAAACTTCCCTGGTATCCATCAGTAACCAGGTGGTTGAGCAGAGGAGCCCATCTGGGAGTTAATACCTCTATCACCTCTACTTTACAAAGGAGGAGACCCAAGGTGGCCTAGCCAGTGAGGGGTAGAGCAGGGCTTAAACCAGGTGCAACTGCTTGCAGAGCCCAAGGTTCCTACCACTCTGCTCTGGTGTCTTCCTGATGCCAAGGATTTAGGTTGCTGTTCAGGAATTCTCCTCTTCGTTTAATTCACTTGTATTTGAACTTATTTATTACTCAGCATGAGCCCAGGACTTGTCCATGGATGATGTAGCCATTTAAAAGTCCCATGTGAGATTATTCTTCCTTAAGGGTTTGCAATTTTGTTCAGAGATTTCACCTGTCAAACCATTAGAGACTAATAGGAAAATAGCTCAACATTTATTGAGCACTTACAATGTACCAAGCACCATGAAGGGTCCCTTACATGAGTTCATGTGTGTAAAGTACTTAGAATAGTACCTGGCACAGAACTAGAAGAGTATCACATTTGCTGTCCTTATGCTGGAGAATTATAATTCTTAGGAAGAGAAGATGGAGAACTGAAAGGTGGTGATCAGTCTTCTTGGGACAGATGGCCATTGAAGGAAGGCACGTCCAATGGAGATGCAGTATGGGCAGAGGGCAGGAGGCTATGGGCCCCAGCAGCGGTTCCCCCTGTTGTTGGTATCATAGGCTGGCCTGCCAGGGGGTGGGTCCCACTGCCCCTTGAGTGGCCTGGGACTGGAGGCCCATCGTTGATTAGGAAGGTTGGGAGATAAAAAGCGGCAAGAATTCCTTTCTTTTTTTGAGATTGTCAGTCTTACTATCTCTCTGTTTCCTTCCACCTACTAGAAACTCAGACATGGCAAAAGCTCACATGATACATTTTTGTACAGCAACTTTCTGATGAAATATTCTAGAAGTTTCTTTACCAATTTGATAGAAAAAAGAAAATAGCTCAAAGCAGGAAATGATTTTAAGACAAAGTCAAAGCTTTCCTGTGGTGGTGACACCAGCACATTTCGGTGTCTGGAATTAACACAGGCAGCCAAAGAAGAAATGTGGGTGTAGCGGATGAGCATGCAGATGGAAAACCAAGGGCTAAAGGGAGCTTCTGGGATGAAAACCTTCCAGAAAAGATCTAAGGGACTAAGTCACATGCTTCCAAGGGACTTGGGAAAAAATATGGCTGAGGCAAAACCAAATGAGAGACCCAAAGTAGGCATAAACTGTATTTCCTTTTTGGACTTTTGTTTGAGTTTCTAAAGAATCTAACTTCCCAGATCGCTGTTTTAATTTGTTAATGGTTGCAGGGTTTGCTTAATATACTGCGCCATGCTAAGCCCGTACCCAAAGTAAAAGTCCTACCTCTGGCCCTGAGCACAGACTCAATGTGCCCAAGTGTTTACTGAATGAGTGGCTGAGTTCATAAATGGAGCTGCTACCTCGAGAGCAATTGCAAACAGCTTGGCAGGAGTGGAAAGTGCCTCAAAAGTGAGGAATATGGGCATGGACAGGACCATTTCCCCAAAGGAAAATAATCTAAGGCACAAGTGATTATAAAGATAGAGAAATCTACAGACCAAAAAAAATACTTCCAGGGAATGCTGGTTCTCCCAGCGAAAGCTCCAGCAAGCAGTGCAAGATGAAAGTGGAATAAAGGGCCAAGTCCCCATGGCAAGGGTCACAGCAGGGAGAGGAGGTCACCAGAAAGGAAAGATAGAGCCCACACAACACAGCAGCAAGTCCACGAAACACCTTCCAGAGAACGCCGCTCTGCCCTTCCTTCCCCACTCTGCCCTCACCTGCCAGGAGAGCCCACCTGACCTGGGGCATCTGGTCAGAGGTGGCTCTGGGTGGGGGCTGAGCTGAGGGTCGCACAGTCTAGGAGGGGTGTGGCTGCATGCAGCTTGGAGTTGGCCACAGGTTAAAGGGGTCCGGGTCACCAGTTAGATTTCCTTTTTATTTTAATGTGCCTTTTGATTTTTATAAAGCATGCATATAAAAGTGTATAAAAAGCATACATACAGCGTTTAATAATAAACTGAGCACAAACGTACAGCTGGCTCTCACGGAGGTGAAGAAACAGAACCTGGCCAGGACTGTAGACGCTCCTGTCTGTTCTTTTCCCATCACACCCCACCTTCCAGCCAGAGAGGACCATTCTCCTGGCTTTTGAGATCATTGCGTCCTTGTTTTCCTTTGTAGTTCTACCAACGTTTGATTCGTTCCTCAGCCCTATAATTTAGTATTCCCTTCTGGTAAACTAACGAAAATAGAGTCATTTAGGAAATGGACTCCTTTTGCTCGACATTGTAAGATCCATCCACCTCACACTGTTAGCAGTGACTATCACAGGTTGATTCCACTGCTGCCTCATCTTCCACTGGGGGGATGTGCTAAAATTTCTGCATCCGTTCTAGATTGGAACTCTTGGAACGGGCTTTTGTGGATGTGCTGCATGTGTTTCCTGATGAACATTTCGCAAGCATCCCGAAGAGAACTCTGTAGAACGGCCAGATTGTAGAATAGGTCTCGCCTCACAGGCACCAGGTGACACCAGGTTGTTCACGGTGGTTGCACCAGTTAACCCTCCACCAACTGAGCTGAGAGTTCCAGGCGCTTCATGTCACAGAATGAGGATTGCCAGGCCTCTTAGTGTTGGTCAGTTTAGTGCGTGAAGGCACCGCCCAGAGTGTTAACTTGCATTTCTC